TGCTTCCCACTACTGCCAATGGGGGGTGGGGAGACTTTTATAAGGTGTTCACGAAAGCAAAACGAAGAAAATATGTGATTTGGTTACAAGGGAATAATAGACAAAGTTTTTAATTAGAGGTCTGCTAGGAATTTTTAATTGGTAAAGTCCCAACTTAAAGAACAATGAGCATTTCTGATTAGTTACACCTAAGTTTCATTTTTTTCATTGATATGACCATTCAGATTGAGTTCAGTTTCACTGGTTTATGCTGGAACCCAAGGCCCTTGGAGCCATCTCAGCCTAATGGCCTCCCAATTAATTATTTTAACAATTGGGACAGCTCAAGTTCAAGGGGTAGGAGTTGAAGAAGGAATAGAAATAGGTAACTTGTTAAGACACAATACAGTAAGTTTCCTATAAAGATGGGCATAGGATATTAAACAGATAATTATGGCCCAGGGTCTGGGGGCCCAAGGCAAGAGCTCTCAGGTTTCTCAGAGGAACCTCCTTTCTAACTGCATCTTGAGGGAAAGTGGGAGTTGGCCAAGCAGAGAAGAAAGAAAAAGGAGCCCAAGTACTGATAACATCAAGTACAAAGCAAGGAGGTAGCAGATGGTCAGGCAGACTTTTTGAGTGAGAACAGTCAGTCTGCAATGTCTAGGGGAAAGGGAAAAAGGTCAGATCACACTTCTGGGAAGTCTGGCTGGAGTGTGTTCTTCAAGGGCCATGTAGGCAGACTGGGGAAGCTGAACATCTGCACTTAAATATTTTATTCAAAAGGATACTTGCTCTGGACATGGTGGTTCATGCCTGTAATTCCAGCACTTTGGCAGGCGGAGGCAAGAGGATTTCCTGAGCCCAGGGCTCAAGACCAGCCTGGGCAACTTGGTGAGACCTCATCTCTACAATAAATCAAAAAATTAGCCAAGTGTGGTGGCACACACCTGTGGTTCCAGATACTTAGAAGGCTGAGGCAGAAGGATCGCCTGAGTCCAGCAGAGGCTGCGGTGGCCACGAGCATGCCACTGTACTCCAGCCTGCGCGACAGAGTGAGACTCCTATTAAAAAACAAAGAAAGAGAAAAAAAAAAAAAGAATTATTGCAATAAGAGAAAGGGGACTTTTGCAGGAGGGGAAAAGAAACTACTACTACTACTACAAAAAAACTACTGTTGTAATAGGGAGTGCAGGTCTCCTATCAGCCATGAAACAAACAAAGTTTATATCCTAGTGGGACAAACCATAATCAAAAATATAATTGAGTAACAAAGATTGTTTTTGAAAGTGTCATGGAAAAGAAAATGCGTAATGGGTACAGTGTGAGAAAAAAATAAACAGGGTTAGACCAGAGAAACAGAGTGATCAGAACTGGAGGGTGGTCAAGGTTTCATCAGCAAGGTCAGAAAAGGTCTCTCTGAGAAGAAAATTTGTAATTTCTCTGGCACTGCCCGCAGTTATTGATTGGCTGAAGCTCTCAAGATCCAATTGGACATAAAGGTGGGGGAGGGACTTGCATTTTCAGCTCCTGATTGGCTCTGGTGGCTGTGCATCAGCTCACAGAGGCATGATCCCACGGGGGCAGTGTTTCATGAGCCTCATTGATTGGCTGCAAAATAGGCCCATGCAGCTGCTGATTGGCTGCAGAACAGGCCCATGCCGTGGCTGATTGGTTGCGGGGCAGATGCATACACCTCACAGGAGTGAATTAGAAGGACGGGGAGACTGTAGTGCCTCAGACTGACGATTACTGGCTCAGCAACCGCACCTGGCCTGTTGGCGTCCCTGGTAGTTGGCGGGTTCGGGACCTGCGTCAGGACTGCACAAACTGGGTTTCCAGTCAGCGTCAGTGGACTCCCAGGAGTGCCACAGCTCAGTTAGGTCGAGGTCTGAGGCCCCCCTAGAACTGCTCGGTAGGATGAAAGCAGATTGTGGATCTGTCACATAGCAAGACTGTGGCCCAATCAGTTAGTTCACCAAGAGCCCGGGTTTGTGTTTGCCAGCCAGTCACATGGTCGCAGGCGCGTGGGGGGTGGGGTTTAGGAGTGGAGTCGGGTGGAGGTGGGGGTGGAGGGCATAGGGGTGGGGGATGGGGGTGTAGGAGTGGGACGGGGGAGTAGGAGTGGGGTGGGGTGGGCGTTGGTCAATGAGTGGGCTTTCAGTCAAACAACAAGGCACCAAGTAAGTAGTCTGAGACCCTTATGGATCAACCAGCTTAGGCCCTTATGGATCAATGGTAGTCCCCTTGTAAGTCAATTAATCAGATAATCCACTCCCTTCATAGCCTGCCCTGTTCATGGGTCAATTAGACCCCCATTATGTCAAAAAGTACAAGTAAGGAACCAATAAGAATAAGTAGATAAACTTATTGTCTTCTTTGGCATAGATTTTTTTTTATTATTTCATTTCTTTCTCTATCAGCTTACAGGTCTTATGAGGCGGGACCCAAAATAACCCGAAATTTATTGATAAAAAATGTATATTTATCCTTGCTCGTTTAAATTTCAGTCACCTTCAAAATAGTCTCTGATGCATACACCCATTGAGATGCTTTTTCCACTGCTCAAAACAATTTTTGAACTTATCAGTTTTGATGCCTTTTAGTGCTTCTGCCATTTTTTTGTTTCACCTTCCACATCGACAAAATGTTTTCCTTGGAGGTCTTTCTTCATCCAGGGAAACAAAAATGTCGCTTGGGGTGAGATCAGGTGAATAGGGATGGTGGGGCACCGGGGTCATGCCATTTTTGGTCCAAAACTGCCAAACACTCAGTGCAGTGAGAGCTCACCAAGTTGCCCAAGCTGGTCGTAACAATTTAGTGCATTTCAGTAAATTTTTGTCACATTTATGAAGGGGGCCATGGGAAATCCTGCTTCATGTGTTCTCTTTTATCAGAGTGAAAAAAGGACTTTGACCAGTAAATTCACTGAAAGATCAAGTGTCAAGGAATAAGTTGGTTTGCTAAACAGGGAAATATTCTCACCTAGAATAGCATTGTAATTGGAATCACCACTTAAGTAAGCTTATGGTAACCTATTATTATGAAATATTCTCTCTGGCTTTTGACTGAAAATCTTAAAAATACAGAAAATTTTAAATATGAATATTTTCAGACCCTCTGCCAATATGCAACAATTGTTAACACTTGATAATATTTTTTTCTCTCAAACTCTTTGCTTGCTGTCTCATTTGAAAGTGAATTGCGTCGGCCTCAGTAGCTCAGCCTGTAATCCCGTGCCTTGGGAGGCTGAGGTGAGTGAATTGCCTGAGCCCACGTGTTCGAGACTGCCTGGGCAACTTGGCGAGACCTCATCTCTACAATAAAAATCAAAAAAAATTAGCCAGGCATGGTAGCGCGTGCCTGTAGTTCCAGCTACTTGGAAGGCTGAGGCGGAAGGATCACCGGAGCCCAGCAGGTCGAGGCTGCGGTGGCCGGGAGTGGCCACTGCACTCCAGTCTGGTGACAGAGTGAGACTCCAACTCCAAAAAAAAAAAATTAGCTGGGTACATATCTGTAATTCCAGCTACTTGGAAGACTGAGGCGGAAGGATTGCTTGAGCCCAGCAGGTTGAGGCTGCGGTGGCCGTGAGCAGCATTCCACTGCACTCCAGTCTGGGCAACAGAGTGAGACTCTGACAAAAAAAAAAAGGAAAAATAACAATAATTCTGTAATATTACCTAATATCCAGTCTATACTCAAATTTATTGCCATATCTTAAGGAAATTGGCTCAAGCTTCCCTCTAAGATTGCACTTCATATGTGAGTGTCTTATCTTTTTACTATACTTTATTCTAAACCATGACCTTTCCAGTTTTTCCCCCCATGACAGTGACATTTTCAAGAACCCAAGCCAGTTGTCTTCTAGATTGTTCTTTACTCTGGATTCTGGAATAATTCCAGGAGGGAGTTCATTCTATTCTGATTGAGTCAGAAGGTCAGGAAAGGCTGCATATAGGAAGTGGCACTGAACTCAGCTTTGAAATTGAAGTAGGAGCCTAGGGCTCATGCCTATAATCCCAGCACTTTGAGAGGCTGAGGTGAGAGGATTGCCTGAGCCCGGGGGTTCGAGACCAGCCTGGGCAACTTGGTGAGACCTCCTCTCTACAATAAATAAAAAAATTAGCTGGGCATGGTGGCACACGCTTGTAGTTCCAGCTACTTGGAAGACTGAGACGGAAGGACTGCACAAGGCCAGCAGGTTGAGGCTATGGTGGCCATGAGCGTGCCACTGCACTCCAGCCTGGGCGTCAGAATGAGACTCTGACTCAAAAATTATAAATAAATAAATAAATAAATGGATAGATAAATAAATTGAAGTAGGATTTAAATCATAATTTACCTAACCATCACTCAACTGTTGTATGTTTACATTTTTTTAGAGAAGGTAGTTTCAAGGGAAAATGCTAGGAACAGGGGAAATCCCTGAGTGAAGGGAGAAGTGTGTTTAGGGTGAAATTTGGGAAGGGCACCATGTTCTTTTTTTTTTTTTTTTTTGCTTATAAAATTCTGGTTTATTGTTGGACAACATTGTTTCACACATACATCAAACAGGCCAAAAAAAAAATAATAATAATAAACAGCAACTTCATAGACAAAAAAGGAAAAAAAAGAAACCTTTTATCTTTGGCCTTTTTGACCATCTCATACAAACCAACTACTTATAGTACAGCTAAGTACATACACAAAAAAAGTTACTGGAATACTCAGAATAAGATTGTTTTTTTGTTGTTGCTTTTGCTTTTTTTTTTTAACAAGGGTTTTTTTCTCCTTTGAGATTATAATGAACATGGTCACACCACAAGTAAAGTCAGAAGTAGGACAGAAAACGCTGCGGAGGCTGGTTTGGTCATCCGAGATCATGAAAAATGGCTGACTCCTAACAATATGTAAAACAATATAAAATGTAAATAAAAAACCAATTTCCTTTTTAAAGTACTTTTAAGAAAAAAAGCAGGGCCTTGGAACCAATTTCCTTTTTAAAGTACTTTTAAGAAAAAAAGCAGGGCCTTGGAACCAATTTCCTTTTTAAAGTACTTTTAAGAAAAAAAGCAGGGCCTTGGAAGTTTGGGTTCTTTTTTCCTCCCCTGTTGCAAATTCTCATGGTTTTGGTGGGGTGGTGGAGAGCATGTGTCATCTGTGGGTGGCGCTGCCCGCCGGCGGGCCTCTCTACTCGAAGGTGACCACGTTTCGATTCTGAGATGGGAAGTGGAGGGTGAATAGGTCACGGCGGCCTTTTTTTTTTTTTTTAGTTTAACTTTTACTTTTCTTGCTGTCTAGTCATCCTCATCGGTCTTCTGTGTCTTAGTATCAACATCGTCATCCTCATCATCTCCAGCTGCCCGTTAGCCGGTAGCGGCCTCAGCTTCCTCATCTTCATCTCCATCCTCCTCCTCACCATCACCTTCTTCTTCCTCCCCCTCCTCCTCCTCTCCACCTTCTTCCTCTTCTTCATCTACCTCATTGTCAGCCTCCGGCTCCCCATTTTCCTCATTAGCATTCCCCTCAGCAGGGGCGTCTCTTCCATTTTCCGCCTCCTCCACAACTTCCTTCTTCTCCTTTAAGTCCTTGGTGGTGATCTCGGAGCGGGTGTCCGCGGCTGCGTCTGACATGGTGGGGCACGCCGGTGTTCCGATGCAAGGGACTAAGGAGAGCACGAGAGTCCGAGGACTCTGGCGTTAAAGCTGCCGGAGTCGGCGGAGGCAGTGGAGGCGAGCAGAGAGCCTGACCGGGAACAAGGCAAAGATGGCTTTTCAGAGCAGCCAGTGGGGACCATTTTCTCTTTGATGTGGAAAATACACAGCAGAACATAAGGCAAGAGTGAGGCAAAATTGTGGAGCGCCTCATTTGTAAAGTAAGAAAGTCTGGAACTTTTCCTGTCGGCGGTCGAAATTCCTGTCCATTTTTAGCTTCTCAAAAATCTGTTAAATCTGTCCCATCCTCTCCCTCCCTCACTGCATGCAAATGTGTCATTCTTTCCCGACCACAATAGTCATTCCCCTGACCTGTGGTCACTCCCCTTCAGGTCATTTCTCAAATGGACCCCAATGAAATATTACAGACACCCAGACCTCCTGATCTTGTCGCTCTGCAGTGCACAACCTTTCCACAGATTCCCATTAGTGAGAACCCAAAGGACCTGGCACTTGAGGCCCTCCTGAGGGGATGGGGACATGACATTGGAATCAAGCCAGGCACGGTGGCTCACACTTGTAATCCCAGCACTTTGGGAGACCAAGGTGAGAGGACTGCCTGAGCCCAGTGGCTCGAGACCAGCCTGGGCAACTTGGTGAAACCTCATCTCTACAATAAATCAAAAAATTAGCTGGGCGTGGTGGCACACGCCTGTAGTTCCAGCTACTTGAAAGGCTGAAATGGAAGGACCGCCTGAGCCTAGCAGGTTGAGGCTGTGGTGGCCATGAGCGTGCCACTGCACACTAGCCTGGGCAACAGTGAGACTCATTAAAAAAAAAAAAATTGGTATCATAGCGGCGCTTTCCTGTCCCTAGATGATCTTGAAGATCTCATCCCACATAACTCCCGCTTCTCCAAGTGAACAGGCCTTCAGGAGGACCAAAGAGAAGGAGGCTCCTGACTTCTTGCTAAGAATACTTTCTGCTCTCCCTCCCCCCACATCCTCTCTCAGTTACCCATGACCTCACCCCTTCTGAACCATACAGTGCTGATGTCAGAGGCACTATAGTAAAGAGCCTCTCCTGTTCCTGAGACCTGTGGCTGCTGCAAAGGGTGCTTCCACTGTTACAACCAGGTAAGTGAGTGAAGAAGCAGCATTGGGGATGTCTGAGAAAGCCAAGACTCCAAGGCCAGGAATTGGGGGTAGACACTTGGGGAATGAAGAAAGAGAACATGAGGGTGCAAGAACCAAATCACCAATGTGGATTAGATATCTTCTGTGTGCCAGATTCTGGGCTGGGGCTGTCTGAAGCAAATAATAACAAGTTGGGTCAGGAAGTGAGATTCAAAATGAGGGCGGTAGCTCAGTCAGGGAGGTATGAAGACATGAGAGCCCTGGAGCTATTTCAGATATTACTGGAAGCCCTGAAGGTAGTCAGTGTTTCAGCATCTTCATGGGCATGCTTTCTCAGACAGTAAAGAAAATCCAGAGGACAGTTGTGGAGGGTACTGTGTCCCCCAGTCTCCTGCAGATTCCTCACCCCCTGCCCAAATGACCCAGAGGAAGAGACCATGGTCAAGAGCTACTCGTTAGGAGAAAATTGCCCCTTTCTACCAGTAACCTCCAACCATCTCAATGACAAAGTATGTGAAACTGCTAACGGCCAATTCCTCATCACTGGAACCTTCATGAATGCGACTTTTCTTTTTGAGTCAGAGTCTCACTCTGTCGTCCAGGCTGGAGTACTGTGGCATGCTCACAGCCACCACAGCCTCGACCCATTGGGCTCAGACGATCCTTCCACCTCAGCCTTCCAATTAGCTGGAACCTACAGGCATACATCAGCACACCTGGCTAATTTTTTTATTTATTGTAGAGACAAGGTCGCACCAAGTTGCCAGGTTGGTATCGAACTTGCAGGCTCAGGCAATCCTCTCACCTCAGCCTCCCAGAGTGCTGGGATTATAGGTATGAGCCACCACGCCTGTCCTGAATGTGACTATTTCTTATTGACCCTTATGCACCCATGATACACACCAGTGGTCAACATGTCCTGCCTCTTCTCTGTAGAATGAAGCCATTTCAAACGTGATTAACCAGAACATGCCATAGTAGTCTTGGCTTCCAATGAATGTTCAACAAAAGCCACTTGGGACTGGGAAAAGGGAAACTGAGAAAGGTGTTTTATTTATTGAATGGGTAATACTTAGCACTGAGTTAGAGTCACTACAAATCTTAGGACATTCATTCTTATAACAGTGGTAATATGAGATAGCTTCAGCAAGTATTCTGATTTTCCACACTAGGAAACAGCAAAGAGAAGGGAAGTGACTTGTCCAACACATCTAGTCAGTGACAGAGGGAGGAATTGATCACAGAGACTAAGAAGAAAGTTGGGGATAGAAGGAAGCACAGGTGACATAGCTTGAATGGTTGTCCCCTCCAAATCTCATGTTGAAATGTGATTCCCCAATGTTGGAGTGAGTGGAGCCTAGTGGGAAGTGTTTGGGTCAAGGGATTGGGTCCCTCATGAACAGCTTGATGCCATTTTCGCAGTAATGAGTGAATTCTCCCTCTGTTAGTTCTCTCAAAAGATGGTTGTTTAAAAGAACCTGGCCCCTCCTTCTCTCTCTCTCTCTCTCTCTCTCTCTCTCTCTCTTGTTTTTGCTCTTGCCATGTGACATGCCTTTTCCCTCTTCACCTTCTTCCATGACTGAAAGCTTCCTGAGGCCTCACCAGAAGCTAGAAGAGTCCAGCACTGTGCAGTACCATGAGCCAAATAAAACTCTTTTCTATGTGAATTACCAAACTCAGGTATTTCTGTATGGCAGTGCAAAATGGACTAACACAGAAGCCAAGTAGGAGCTCGGGCTGGGTCAGCTAGCATGGTGACAGGGTGGCAAGTGAGGGATCAGAGACAAAGCAGATCCTCAGGAAATTGACACACCATCTATCTAGAAGATCTAGTGATCAGGTTCAGGCCAGATGAGGCAAGAGGATAAAAGGGGAACTGGTCTGAAGCCTGGACCCATGAACTTCCAGAAATTTTTTCTCAACAGCAAATAAAGGGAAAGCTGGATCCTGAAGAAACTGAAGAAGGCAAGTCAGGATGCCTTGCTATCTCTTGACCTTCCCTCTCAACAGCACCCGCCAGGCTGCTCCATTCCTCCTACTCCTTAGAGAAGACACTGCATTGCAGCTGTTCCTTCCACGGGACCTCCACACCCTCAGTGCAGTGGTGGATGGGAGGTGTCCCTGTGGGTGTGAATGGCATGGGTGACAGCCTCCAGGTGACTTCTTATACTTGGCCCCTGGGCCAACAGCATCATCAGCCTGACTGAGGAGCCAGAAATAGACACAAGACTCCTCTGTGAAAGGAAGAACCAAACAGAACCCAAGCTTTGAGCTTCCTACTGATATCAAGTGAGGATGGAGGGGGCTTGGGGACTGGGTGAGAAGGATGTGCTGGATGGGGATTGGCACCTGGGCTGGAGGAGGGAGCTGGTTTTGCCAAACTTCTCACATGCTACTTCCAAGAAAGAGGTCTTTGGTTTCCTGGGCCTTCATGAAAGGGCTGCTCCAAGGTGTTTTCTAAGGAGCCACTGCAGTTTCCCTGATCTTCCTCTGCCTCCTCCCCTTCATGTAAGTACCAGGGTTAAAATTCACCTGCAAACCTGTCCCAGAGTCTGTTACCTGGCAGGTCCTGGCAGCAGCCCTAGTACAGGGAGGGCAGACAGGACTTTTTTTTTTTTTTTGAGTCAGTCTTACTCTGTCGCCTAGGTTGGAGTGCAGTGGCATGCTCACGGCCACTACAGCCTTGACCTGCTGGGCTCAGGTGATCCTTCCACCTCAGTCTTCCAAGTAGCTGGATCCATAGGTGTGTGCTACCATGCATGGCTTATTTTTTTATTTATTATGGAGATGAAATCTTACCAAGTTGCCCAGGCTGGTTTCGAACCCCTGAGCTCAGGCAATCCTCTCACCTAGGCCTCCCAAAGTGCTGGAATTATAGGCTTGAGTCACCAGGCCCGGCAAGGACTTCTACCCTCAAAGAGCTCAGGGTCTGAAAAGGGAAAGGCATCAAACATGGTGTTTTGTGGTAGGCAGATTGATGCAAACCCACCTCACATGCCCAAGGAAGCTGAGAGGTCAAAGATAGAGACTGACAAGTCCAGTTTCTTAGAAATAAACTTTTGTTAGGGACTTCCAAGCCGAAGTAATATCTGTGTCTCCAGCGACTGTGAGACAAGATGGTAGATCCTCATGCCATGACCTCCTAGACCCAGGGCTTCCACACCATAGGGAATGGGAAATTCAAAAGGGGTGTGTAGGACAGTTGAAGTATGATAACATCAGAGTTGTTTGATCTAGTGGCAATATGCACAGTAAGTACTTGCTCTTTCACAAGGAACGATAGGTAAATTAGAAACTGCCTTTCTGCTGGGCTCAGTGGCTCAGTCTATAATCCCGTGCCTTTGGGAGGCTGAGGTGAGTGGATTGCCTGAGCCCGCGGGTTCGAGACCCACCTGGGCAACTTGGCGAGACCTCATCTCTACAATAAATCAAAAAAATCAGCCGGGCATGGTAGCGCATGCCTGTAATTCCGGCTACTCGAAAGACTGAAGTGGAAGGATCGCCAGAGCCCAGCAGGTCGAGACTGTGGTGGCCGGGAGTGGTCACTGCACTCCAGTCTGGGCGACAGAGTGAGACTCCAACTCAAAAAAAGAAACGGCCTTTCTGGAACTAGGGTTAATCGGAGGCCAACATGGCAGATCAGCCAAGATGGAGTTGCTTCAGCCTCCACAACTACAGGACTACACTGAGCTGTAAAACAGGTCCATGGGACAGATGTTTGTGAAATATTTTATAAAGGAGAAAGCCAAGGAGGGACTGGCAGACCTGGAAAAGCAACCCTCAAGGTGCTGTCTGTGGTGGGCTGTCTGTCTGAAAACTGGGCACTCATTAGCGTGATGGAAAGTAGTACAGACTGAGCATCCCTAATCCAAAAATCTGAGGTCCAAAATCCAAAAGTTTTTGAGTGTCTGCATGATGCTACACGCAGACAATTTCACACCTGACCTCATGTGATAGTTCAGTGTACACAAACTCTGCTTCATGAACAAAATTATTTCAAATATTGTATAAATTTACATTCAGGTTATGTGCATAAGGCATATACGAAACATAAATGGATTTTGTCCTTGGACTTGAGCCTTATCCCCCAGATATGTCAATATGTGTATGCACTTCTTCCAAAATCTGAAAGAAATTGAAATCTGAAATGCTTCTAGTCCCAAGCATTTCAGATAAGGGATTCTCAGCCTTTATACACAGAAGCCAGGGACATGTTATACCATTTCTGGTGCACTGACAGTGACAGGCAATGGCTAAAAATGAGGTTGAAAAATATCCATGTTAGTCTGTAAAGAGCCTTGAAACATGGCTGGATGTATTGGCTGGAGCGTGCAAAAGGCAAAGTTGCAGGAGGTCAGTCTAGAGAGTTGAGCAGGGGATACCAGACAGCTGTGACCGAATCTTCAGTTGGGAGCCAGGGAAGAGTGCTAAGCTGGAAAGGAAAGTATGAGCTTAGAGTAGGTTACAGACCAGAGAGCAAGAGCCAGGAGGCCAGAGACCAGGCAGAAAGCTTTTGCCACGGTCTAAGCAGGAAAGTGTCAGACCCGAGCTGGGGCGAGTGATGTGGAGTGACCAGAGGGGTAGAAATTGGGAATGACTGGCTATCAGGGAGAGAAAGAAGAGGAGCAAGGTGGCAAGGCAAACTGAGGAGCCAGTTTCAAAGTATGATCAGCTGCACTTAAAGACCAATAACAATCTCTTCACAGGTTATAAGGCCCTTTCACCACAGACCTCATCTGAGCCCCATAGCCTGATAAGCAGGGTAGCCCCATTATACAGGGTGTGAAATCAATTCCCAGAGACGGTGTACGGCTTGCCCTAGATTGCACAGCAAACTGGTAGTGTTGTTGAGGCTCTAAACCAGAACTTCCAATCAAGACAAGAGCTTGTTTGAGGAGATAGGGCAATGGGGAGTCATAACCAATCAAAAGCTCATTTCCTTAGAGTGAAACATATCAGAAAGAAGCAGGCAAAGAAAACTTCAGCAATCAAAGCAAAAAAGAGCTCTAAAGTCAGAGCAAGCCAACAACCCAAGATATCTCTGAAGCCTAAGGCACCAGGAAAATTCATAATCTCCCCGTCTTCTGAGACCTGGCTGTTGGTTGGTACCCACTGTGTCTGGAATCTAGTCTGTCAGAACCCTGATGGTAAGACCTATAGGGAGAAGAGTATACGGTGTTTTTTAAAATTTTTATTATTTATTTTTGAGTGGGAGTCTCACTCTGTTGCCCAGGCTGGAGTGCAGTGGCATGCAACCTTGATCTGCTGGGCTCAGGTGATCCTTCTGCCTTAGCCTTCCAAGTAGCTGGAACCACAGGCGCATGCCACCACACCTGACCCCTGCATGTTGTTGTAAAGGAATTATCATCCTCAATCTTGTAGGACATCTAAATGCCAGAATGAACTTTCTGATTATTTTAAAGATGATGAAGCTGAAACCCAGAGAGGGGAAAAAAGGATGAAATTAAAAGAAATCATTTAAAGGGTAATTAGAATCGGCAATTCACACACACGCACCAGCACACTGAGTCCCTGTTGAGAAGAGAGTTGGGGAAAACCCTAACAGCAGTTGTAGTTTTGGAGTGGAAACCAAAGGATTTGGTCTCTGAGAGCATGGCAGACAGCGGTCAGCACAGTGTAGTTAGCCTGAAGTGGTTGGACATGAAGCCAAGTCCAGGTTACGCCTTCATTCACCCTGAGCCCCACCTCCTCAGCAGGGCTCGGAAGAAGCAATGCCTGATGTTAGGCCTCAGAACCAGAAGTGCCCTGCTCCTAACACCCCATGTGAAGAGCTAGTGTCCTTTAGTGGATGAAGAATGCATCTGTTAAATTCCACCAATATTTCCTGCAACATCTCTTAATTTCTGTGATGGCAATGCTGAGGTCTCAGAAGTGAGTCAGACCTAGGTCCTTGTCCTCAGAGAGCAACCAGGCTGGTACAGAAGGCACTCTCAGACTAAAAGAGCGGAGTCAGGGAGTTTCAATTGCCCAGAGGAGGCAGGGACTAGATGTGCCTGGGAAGTCTGGCAAGGTTCCCGGGAGGGACCCGGGGAAGAAGACAATGTTGTAGGCTCCATTTGTGCAACAGTGAGGATGGGCTAAGCTAATGCATGCTCCAATTGCCTTAATTCTGTGCTCAAGGGGGGGTCCTTCCAATATTTGAATACCTCATGTCTAAACCTGCTCTGACATCCTTCTTTCTTTGCCCTGCTCCACACCCCCACCTCTTCCAGGAAAAACAAGATAAACCAACCAACTAAGTCTGTGGAAACTGCATCATACATGAAGTCCCATTATCCCTGGATAGACAAAAATCCACAGAACCCCTAGAAACCCTGGAGTCCAAAGTAAACCTGGTGCCCCCAGAGCCTCCTGTCTTGCAAAACTCCCTCAACCCCCATGTGTCCCTCACACTTATTCTCCATTGAATAAAGGTTACTCTTGGACTTGATCATAGAACTATTGAAGGCAAACTTTATTTGTTACATGGGCTAGCCAGAAGAAACATGCCCTACCCAGGAATGGTGTTGAAGGAAAAATATATGTGAGACTATGAAACTGGTCCATCAGGAAGTTATTTTTGAGCCCATACTGTGTGCCCAGTACCTGAGATACACATACAAGAGCCCCAGGCTTTGAAGCCATCATAATCCTGTCTTCAGTGCTTGGTGGCTGTTTGCCATTGGACAAGGCCTTTCAACTCCCTTTAAACTTCAGTATCCTCACATGACATATGCCTTGTTGGAGAGTGGGTGAAAAGTGCTGTCCAGAGATGCAGGTGGAGAAAAGACACCACCATAAGCCTTGAATGCCAAGATAAGGTATTGGAGCTTTATCTTGTAGGGCCTCATCCTGACTCCTTTAGCATGTAAGTTCCACAAGAACAGGGCTCTTGTCTATCCTGTTTTCTACTCATGTTGCCAGCCCCTAGAATGGTGCATAAGTATAATAAGCTCTCAAAAATGTTTGTCAAATGATTGTATTCTTGGATTAATTAATTATAAGCTGTTGAAAGATTTGAAGAAAGGAAGTCAAATGACCAGATATAGAAAGACTATTCTGTCAGGCACAGTGGCTCATGCCTATAATCCCAGCACTTTGGGAGGCCAAGGTGAGAGAATTGCCTGAGCCCACTGATTTGAGACCATCCCGGGCAACTTGGCAAGACTTCATCTCTACAATAAATCAAAGAATTACCAAAAAAATTAGCTGGGCATGATGGAACGTGCCTGTAGTTTCAGCTACTTGGAAGTCTGAGGTGAAAGGATCGCCTGAGCCCAGCAGGTTGAGGCTGTGGTGGCACTGTACTCCAGCTTGGGTGACAGAGTGAAACTCCAGCTCAAAACAAACAAACAAAAAACCAAGAAAGAATATTCTCTCTGTCTGTCTCTATCTGTCTCTCTCTCTCTCTCTGTGTGTGTGTCTCTGTCTCTGTCTCTCTCTCTCTCTCTCTCTCTCACACACACACACACACACACACACACACACACACACACACACACACGTATTGAAGATATATTTCGAAGAGGTAAGATTGGAAGCAAAGAGTCTACTTCTTGGCCAGGTTGAAAGGCAGTCATGCAAACGAAAAGGGGACTCTGACATTAGAATGGACCACAGCTGTGTATTCCTCTCAGAATAGATACCAGCCTCCCTTCTGGAACCAGATGCCAGGAGTTTTCAGCGGGTGGAAAGAAGGTCATCTCTTCCCTGGGGCCATATTTGAAGGTAAACACAGTGATCCTGCAGCACCAGTGAGACAGTCGTTTTGTTCTTAGCATGAACAGTTACATAAGCCCCCACGTGTACACGCATTTCTCTCATGCAGTTCCCATTTCACGGAAATATGAGCACCCACCATGTGCCAGAGAAGGAGGGGAAGAAGATACTGACCCTGCCTCTGTGGAGTCATAGTCTACACAGGAATACAGACAATGAAGAAATGCACACAAATTTATAGTTTGAAATGTTCATAAATGCTAGGAAGAAAAATAATAGAATACTATGAGGAAGTATGGGAAAGAAATTAAGTTTGGAGTACAAAGTCAGAGAAGGCCTCTCAGAGAAAGTGACATTTGCACTGGAGACTGACAGGATTGTCAGGAGCTGGTCAGACAGAGGGAGCTGCAGATTCCAGGCCCTGACATAGGAGAGGTTCAGTGAGCTCAACAGCCCAGAGCAGGAGGGCTGGAGCTCCGAGGGAGGGGTGAATTCCTGAGGGACCAGAACCTGCAGGGCCTTAAGGGTGAGAAGTTTAGGTTTTGTCCTCACTGGGAGGTTATTTTCTCATAGGATTTGTAATTTTGGAAAGTGGGCTCATCTTTGGTGCAGCTTTATGAGAATCTACTTTGTGCTGCAGAGGTTTTGAAGACAGAAGCCTCCATGACTAGTTTAGCATTTGCTTCTACTACAGAAACATCCTCTGAGAGAGAGAGGCGGACAAGGCTGGGGAGAAGGAAGGTAGTGGATTTGGGGAAGGAGAGACAGATCTACGAAGAAGGAGAGAGGATGGGGACCGGGATGAGTTTGGGCATGGAAATGAAGAGCTGGGGCTTCCTGTGTGTCTTGTTTTATCGGTGTTACTGGTTTGGTGGCAGGACAGGAAACAAGGGGTCCACAGGGTGCCTTCTGGCCAGCCCTGAATGTCAAGTCCTGGGCATTTTATTCCTTGGGTCAGTGGCTTGCATGCCTACAGGTGCGGGGTTAAGGGAGGAATGTCCCTTGGTCGCTGATTTGCCTGGAGTCTAGAAGGCTGGCAGGGGTCTAGAACCACCTGCTCAAGGAGAATGATTTTCCTAACTATGGCTGGGAGCCCCAGCAGTAACAGTTGGCTGCTTGGGATTGACTCAGACACTGGACACCCTCAAGTTCTCTGTGCATTCAGCAGCTCAGCAACTGGAAAGTCCCTGTGTGCTCACGGGGGCGAGACCTTGTGGGGCGGGACTTCATAAACCCAGTACCAGGAGGTTGGTGACGCTCCGGGCACTCCAGTCCGATTAATGAGTGTGTCAGCGAATCAGTTACCCTTCTTCTGCCTTAGTCATTTCCCCGTGAGTCACACGGTCGTTGTGCTCACGGTCATTTCACATGTCAGTCTGTCACCGGGCACATCCTGAATCGTTGAATCAGTCCCATCACTTGGTCCCTCTGGAGAGTTCTCCAATAGCTCTAATAGGAAGTCAACCAATCTCACCTGATGCACTCAGCAAAAATTCTGGAGGACGTTTGGTTTCTAAGGAAATAGTGCTGAGAAAGATCCAGTTCTTGGAATCCAAGACTAGGAGGTAAATTTGGGACAGGAAACAATCATTTAGGGGGAGAGAAGAGAGCTTGCCTGTGAAGACAGCTCGTGGATGCCGCAGGGCCTGGAGATGGAAATAAGACTAGGAAGGGTTTTAGATTTTAGAGTCTGAAAGGCCGTTATGCGCTGCAATAAAACTCTCACGTTTTACAAAAGAGGGAAATAAAGGGGAACCAGAGAAAAGACAGAACTTGTCCAGAGCTATATCCAGTGAGTTACTGGCAAAGCCCCAACTGGAACCAGTTCAGAACTCTTCCCAATCTTCTATCTGAGGCGTGTGAGGCTGTAAATTAGAGGAAGGGGAGGAGAAAAGATTTTGACAGTGAAACAAAACAAAACAAAACAGAAGTGGGTTATGGTGGACAGAAAGGATTTGTTATCTGGAAGCCTGGGTAGCATTTTCTTGATGTGAGATGGAGGAAGACGTTCTTTAAGAGAGGCAGATACAAGAATAGAAAAGCAGAGGGCTGGTTCTTAAACCAAGACATCACTGGGAAGAGAAAAGAGTCAAAAGCAGTCACAATTTAAATGCCAAGCAAACCAGGCAGGTGATGTGAATAATGAGAAACACTTATTTGGTGCTTGTTTTGTGCTGGGTTCTGTTCCGGGGACTTTACAGGCATTAACTCCTTTAATCCTCCCAATGATTCTACAAAATGGATACTGTTATAATCTGCAAGTTATAAGTGAGGAAAACTTGTGAGGTAGTCAGGGCAGACCACCTGATTTATTCCTATTTTATACATGAAACAGGTGACTCAGAGAGAAGGGACTTTGTAGTATTGACACAGCAGCTTTTTAAATTTAAAGATGTGGGGTACAATTCAGGATTGAGTATACAAGTGGTCATCATACAGCTTAAGTTTGGGCCTCCATTTGGTCCCCACTTCGCCTGGTTTGAGATTAGGTACACTTATTGATGTTGCATGTCCCCTCACCCTACCCTGGCAGTATCCTACTTCTGCCAATCCCTTTCATATAGTATTATGGTAAATGTTCAGGGTCCGCGTATGAATGAGAGCAGGTGGTACTCAGTTTTTTGTTTCTGTGACAGATAACTGAGTATTATAGACTCTAAATCCACCCAAGTTGCTATGAAATCCATATGTTTGCCCTTATTTATGGTTGTGTAATATTCTATCATGTATATATACCACATCTTTTAAAATCCAGTCCAGTTTTGATGGGCAGCACGGTTGATTCCATGTTTTTGCTAGGACACGGCAGCTCTGATGGCAGGCTAGTATATGGGAAAGGACACTTGAGTTTGGAGTCCAGGAACCTAGATTAGAATTCCAATATGACAATTTCTTGGCCACGTGACCTCAACTAGTTCCTATCCTTCTCTGGGCCTCAGTTTCCTTATCTGTGAAGTGATGTATTGATGATCACATCATAGTGTTGTTGGGAAGTTCAAGAATGACAAAGTATGTGAATATCCTATCCACAGTACATGGGCCACCATGATTTTCTTTTTTCTTTTTTTTGAATTGGAGTCTCACTTTGTCACCCAGGCTGGAACCAAGTGGCACAATCCCGGCTACCACAGCTACCTGCTAGGATCAGGCGAACCTTCTGCCTCAGCCTTCCAAGTAGCTGGAGCTATAGGCACACACCACCATGCCACCATGTTGTTGTCCTTGACACCTACTCAAAAAATAAAAAGGACAGGGTTCAGAGAGCTTCTAGGTTGCTGAACATGAAGATCGTACATCTGGAGAGGGCATGGAAAGCTCTGTGTCCCTTCCCCATACTTTGTTTTATACATTTCTTCCATTTGACTGTTCCTGAGTCATATCTTTTACAATTAAAAAAAGCCTGGTAGTCCTGTAAGTAAACTTTTTTCCTCAATTTTGTGAATCATTCTAGCAAATTGTCAGACCAGAGAGGGAGTCATAACACCTCTAATTTGTAGCCACTTTGCACAGAAGTTGTGAATGTTGACCAAAAAAATGCCAA